ACTTTCATGTTTTGCATTGGCAGAGATCTAAGAGGAACTAGTTCACACATGCAGATTGATCAAAGGGGGGCTTGCATCTGTGAAAGAGGCATCTCAGACGCCACAGTCAAAGGGCATGTTTCTACATGTACGTGATTCCTTGAGTTTTCTACAGTATTTCTTTTCAATCCACCCTTCTGAATATGTAAACTGAGCTGAACTCGCTCCGCTGTACAACAAATGCGGTATGGTGGATAGAGATTGTTGGTCTTAGACTGAGGAGATCAAAGTTCAAACCTCCTTCAGCCTGAAGCTTCAGAGGTCATTTCAGGGGGGATCGCGGGGGATCGCAGGTCCCCCGGGTGAGGTACTGGGGGCGGGGCACATGACGAAGCCCCTCCCCCCGCTTCCGGCCGCCCCGCTTCCGGCCCTCATTCAGCCAGGAGGAGGCAGGAGAAGAGGGAGGGTAAGTTGCTTCCTCCCTGCCAGGGAGTTCCTTGGCGGGTCTTCCTTGCACTCCCGCCGGCCTTGCAGGTCCACTGCCGGGCCCCTCATGGGCCGGGACTGCGGCCGGGACTGTTGGGGGCGGGGTGTGTAGCCTTATGACACACTTCCGGTGATGTCAGGGGGTGTGGCATATGCTAATGAGTTATGCTAATGAGTTCCCCTAGCTCTTTTTCTACGAAATGACCCCTGCTGAAGCTTACTGGGTGACTTCAGGCAAGTCACTCACTCTGTACAACTTGTTTCACGGATTTGTTGTGAGGATAAAATGGAGGAGAGGAGAGCCATAGGTGCCATGCTGAGCTCCTTGCGTGAATAGTAGGTTAAAAATATAGGTTTGGGTCCACGCTTGACTTTACATAATCAGAAGGTTCTTCCATTCACTGAAGTGGGGGTGGAATGATACAACTCCTGCTAATGCCACCTTCCCAGTTGGGCTCCCATTGGGACGCAGAGGAAAGGGATAGGCGGGAATGCCATGTTCCATGAACAGAGTAATTTGTTGCTGCTGTTGTTTTAAACTGTTCAGTCCCTTTTTGTTGTTCAGTTGCACAGTTGAGTCCGACTCTTCAAAACCCCGTGGACCACATCATGCCAGGCCTTCCTGTCTTCCGCCGTCCTCCAGAGTTTGCATAATTTCATGTTTGCTGCATTGATAACACTGTCTAACCATCTCATCCTTTGCCGTCCCCGTCTTCTTTGTCCTTCAAACTTTCCCAGCATCAGAGTCTTCTCCCGTGAGTGCTCCCTTCTCATTGGGTGGCCAACGTATTTGAGCTTCAGCTTCAGTATCCGGCCTTCCAGGGAACAGTCAGGGTTGATTTCTTTTAGGATTGGTTCAGTCCCTTGCAACCCCAATTAAAAGAATCAAGCAGTATGTGATGTTAAGAGAAGAAGAAGAGAAGGGAAGAGATTGGATTTATACCCCGCCCTTCACTACCCAAAGGTGTCTCAGAGCGGCTTACAAACTCCTTTCCCTTCCCCTCCCCACAACAGACACCCTGTGAGGTAGGTGGGGCTGAGAGAGCTCTGACAGAAACTGTTCTTTTTCAAAAACAGCTCTTATCAGAACTACGACTTGCCAAAGGTCATCCAGCCAGGTGCAAGTGGAGGAGTGGGGAATCAAACCCGGTTCTCCCAGATTAGAGTTCGCACACTTAACCACTACACCAAACTGGCTGCTGCTGGTATGAGTAGACAATACTGACTTAGATAGTGGGTAGGCAGGTAAAAGTTTATTGTGTGTGGCCAAGGGCCATAACAATATAACAAAAACAACTGCCCAAGCAGTAATAAATACAACAATAAAAATGCAACAAGATTAAGAACAATTTTAAATTTGTCGGAGCCTGGACAGAATATGAATTGCAGCATGTTGAACATCAAGACAAAAGTTTAGCATGAATCTTCTTGGCAGCCAGTGCATACAGTGACATCATATAGGGGACATAATGATTCTCTCATCAGATAAAAGATAGATGATTTTATCTGCCACTGAGTGCAGGTCTAGCTTAGCTAAAATGGCTGCAAGAAACTTGGCCCTAGGAACCGAGTTAAGGTCACAAGACAGGACATAATGAGGAAGATCCTCCAATTCCAGGGCTCCACAGATACATACTCACTGGGCAACTAGTGTATGCTGATAATGACCAGCTAGCATGGTAATGCCTTTACTCAGGAACAATCTCAAGCCGTGATCTATCAAGAAGCCACCTTTTGAGTGATAGAAGAATGGCCTCAGTTGATCTTGCAACTGAGGACTTTGTTATTGCCAAGTGAGCCTTCCAGGAAAGATTTCAAGAAAATGTTACCCCAAGGTAATTTGAAACTGCAACACTGATCTATTGGAGTGTTGTCTCTATGCCACCAGAACTTGTGGGACTTCTTTTCAGAAACCATCACCTTGGTCTTAGAGTAATTAATACGTAAAGATTCTTCTTTTCAGAAGTTACTAAGCCTGTGCAGCATTCTTATAAGGCCAACAGTAGAACCTCTGCATACAAAAGCATAGATACTTTCGGTTGGCCAAGTGAAGGTGGCATAAACTCTGGGCCTGTCAATCTCCCCACTATATCATTGAGGTATAGATTGAAGAGCAGGGGAGCTAGAACCCACCCCTGTTTTACCTCTTTGAGAATCGGAATTTCCTCAGTTAACGATCCAGAGGTGCTCACTCTTATTTTGGCTGTTAAGTTAGTATGGCTGGGTTTTTTTATTTTGGCTGCTAGGTTAGTAAGCATACCAAAAACAGTATCTGTTTATCGATGCATGTAATGGCCAGCTTCGACCAAATCTGGTTCCTGTCCACTGAATAAAAAGCAGCTTTTAGGTTCGTGAATGCCACAAACAAATCTTTGGTAGGTTCCTTAATGCATTTTAGGGAGACATAGTATACGATCAAGCAATGATCAACTTTACTTTGTCCTTTTCTGAAACCTACTTCCTCTGGGCTGATAATTTGATTGGAGGTTTCCTAAGCCTCCAGCTCACCCAAGAGAGATTTACTATACATTTTGGGGACTATATCCAGCAGGCTAATTGGACAATAATTGCCGGGTGCCTGTTTATCCCCATTTTTGAATACTGGAATTACGATGCTGCATTTCCACCCTAAGGGGGAAACCCTGGTTATGTTTATCTGGGCACACAGCTTGGCCAGAATTGGACCCCATCAATCAAGGAAGTGTTTAAATTGTTCTGGCAGAATCATGTCATCCCCTGGGTCCTTGCCAAAGGAAAGGGAGGAGATCAGACCTTTAATCTCATGAAATAATACAGGTCCATCAGTGGCTATTAACCACAAGGTATAGGTAGGAACTCTCCATCTGGGGCAAGTGATGCTCTGTATTCTTGGTGCTTGGGGGGGAGGCAACAGTGGGAGGGCTTCTAGTGTCCTGGCCCCACTGTTGGACCTCCTGATGGCTCCTGGTATTTTTGGCCACTTTGTGACAGAGTGTTGGACTGGATAGGCCATTGGCCTGATCCAACATTGGCTTCTCTTATGTTCTTATGAGACCACTGGGGCAAGATAGACAAATCAATGGGAGGAACTTGCACTGGAAGGAATAGAAGGGGTCTCAAAGATCTGACTGGAATATGCATGCCATTTTTGGGCCTCTAATAGGGTAGAAGTTTTGCCAGATCCATAGAGACCTTCTCCCAGAACTGGGATTCCTTTCTCAGTACTTTTCAGTTTGGTTCTATTGAACCCAAAAAAATTTCAGGATTCCCCCCAAAAAATGGATCTCAATACCAGTAAAGTATTCCAATCCATGATTTTTCAGAAATCCTGAATTTTGGGGAGAGGTCCAACAGACCTGAACTGAAAAATACAGAGGTGGGGGGGGAAGCAGCAGCAAAGCCAGAAAAAAAGGCTGACACGTGGCTCTTAAACCGAACTGCCCAACCGAGCCTGTAAAGCGGCTGATCTTGTGGGGAGAACTCGCATTGTATTGCCTGCGTATGTGAACCTGGCCACAGGAAACAGGCAAATAGTTGTCCTTGCACATCCAGAAACTTTGTAGCTTTAAAAGCAAAGGTTGAAAAGTCTGCAGATCTCATTTGGAACAGCTTTTTGAAAATTGATTTTGCTGGTGGAGGGAATGCATTCCTCCCAAAGACTAAAACAGGGGTCCCCAACATTTTTGAGCCTGCAGGCACCTTTGGAATTCTGACATAGGGTGGTGGGCACAATCACAGAATGGTTGCCAGTTTATGAAAGGTTTTATATATAAACCCAATGGTACTTTTTCAACATATCAGGAAGAAGCTCTGTTTAACAGGATACCTTTTAATCTGCACAGCCGATCAAAAACCCTGTTGTGCACAAGCCTGACTTAGTCCTGCCCACTTCCTAAAAGCACTTGGCGGGTGCCACAAAGGTGACAGCAGTAGGATCGTCACCCCCCCCCCAGTCTGGTGGGGGTTCCCCAGCTTTTGTGGGCTCCTTTCTGCTGGTGGCCAGAAACCCCGCCCACAAACCCCCCTGAATGCAACGTGATGACATCACCTGGAAGTGATGTCATCACATTGCTGATTTTGCATGGTGACTCTCTAGTTTTGGGGCAAAACTGTATGGGCTCAAATCATAGAGTTTTGCCCAAAAACTAGAGCATCGCCGTGCATCATCAGTGACGTGACAATGCCACTTCCAGGTGATATTATCACATCACACACGCTTCACAGGCATGGTAGAAGACTCCCAGAGAAGGCCTGTCAATCCCCCACCGGCTGCCAGGTGGGACCTTGCAACCCTGGTCAGCAAGCATCTATAGGCACCACGTTGGGGACCACTGGACTAGAATATCCTGAAGATTAACATGACAATATGTCAGGATTCAGACAGAATGATGCTGTTTAATGAAAGACCGGTTAGATGTCTAATACCATAATGACAAACTCTGAAGGAAGACAGCTTTCATACGCTCACCACTGGCTGCTAGGAAGAATTCAGATTTTGGCTGCTTTTGTTCTTCATCCTTCACATTGTTTAGTTTCCTTCTCCTCTTGCCTTTTAGTCTCCAGCGGATCAGTGTAAGAAGATCCATGCGGGGGATGAAGTGATCCAGGTCAACCATCAAACAGTGGTGAGCACTTTTACAGGTTATATGACGAGCTACCATATTTTGTTCCTGTTGGTGCAGGATTGTTCCCCCCGATCCGGGATGGTCATGTAATTCCAGATGATCATTTAACTTCCTGTACAATGTTTGCTGTTAATTTGTATAAATGGACGATAGTCTGGTTGCAACAAAGATTGGGAATATACAGATTTTTCTTTATGGCCCGTGAAGACTAGCTGTTCCATCTTGATTCAGGACACAGGATTGGTGCAGACAAAAAGTGAAATGAAACCCTGAAGACTCTCAGGATCTGATTCCCATCAGGACATGCAAGGATCCTAGTTTGTTGTAATACTTTGGTGATACCAACCAGCAGGGGTCATTTCCTGCGGAAGTGCACAGGAGCGGAGCTCCGGCAGTAAGGAGCCCGGGGGGCGGGCACATGCAACCTGCCCCGCCCCTGCTCCCAGCAGCCCTCAGTTGGGCCACAAGGAGCAAGAAGCAACCAGGTAAGTTGCAGACCCCCCCCCCCGGCCCTCCTTCAGGTACAAGCTCTCCCTCCTCTGTGAGGGCAGATCTGCGTGTTCCTCCCCCCCACAATCCTCTAGTGTTCCTCTAGCAATCCAAAACAGTCCAGTGGCACCTTTAAGACCAAATTTTATTCAGGTACAAGCTCTCCCCCCTCCTCTGTGAGGGCAGATCTGCATGTGCCCCCCACCCCAATAGCTAGCAATCAAAAACAGTCCAGTGGAGCCTGAGCGGTGGGTGTTGCCTTCTGACACACTTCCAGTGATGTCAGGGTGTGTGGCATATGCAAATAAGTTATGCTAATAAATTATGTTAATGAGCTCCTGCACCTCTTTTTCTACAAAATGACCCCTGCCAACCAGTTTGCAAGGGCCTTTCTTGAAAGAATGCCTATAAGTCAAGTTATGGGATAGGTTTGCTGGTTCTCATACAACCCTGCCTAACGGTCTTCTGTAGAAGCCTTGGTCTGTGGCCCCTCCCTTCAAAGTTAAGTTGGGTGACAGCCAGAGATAGGATCTTCTTTTGTGGTGACACCTTCAGTCTGGAATTTCCTCTCCTGATGCTGAACCTTTGACAGTTTTAGGCAGTGGCTAGACACAGTATTTTCCTGGTTTGGTTGATGTTGACTTTAGGAGAAGGGAGCTTTCTGCCGTGATCCTCATTGCTGCTATAATTCCTATTCTGCTTCGGTTGTTGATGTTTAGCTTTTACTTTAGCCCCTGCCTTTAATTTCAGGTTTTGATTTCCTGTGTTGGTTTCTGTTGAAGTGACTAAAGGTGTTAGTGAGCTGCCTTCAGCATTTTGAATGGAGAGTTATTTAAACACTTAAAAAAAAAATTTTAAGTAGACGAGGTATTTTGCGTTTGACTGTGGAACATTCTTTGGAAGCTCAGCTTGTGTCTGGCTGTTATAAAAAGTTCTGTTAAGCAGGCATGAGTTGCCTTGTAGGATGAAACCAAGGTCCACTGGGATGTGTTACCAATAGAGACTACCCAGGTGTCTCTAGAAATCCACAAGCAAAGAATGTAGGTGGTTGTCTTCTGCTATTATTCTCCTGCTCCTTTACATCTAGTAAAAACAAGTAAGCAGCCCTCTGTACACAAAAACACCATTTGGCTGTCAGCAGGGCCATCCTAAGTGGAGTTAAACATCTCCAAGCCCACTGACTTCAATAGACCTAGAAGGGTGTAACTCTGCTTAGAATGACGGCCCCTCCCTTCAAAGTTAAGTTGGGTGACAGCCAGAGATAGGATCTTCTTTTGTGGTGACACCTTCAGTCTGGAATTTCCTCTCCTGATGCTGAACCTTTGACAGTTTTAGGCAGTGGCTAGACACAGTATTTTCCTGGTTTGGTTGATGTTGACTTTTGGAGAAGGGAGCTTTCTGCCGTGATCCTCATTGCTGCTATAATTCCTATTCTGCTTCGGTTGTTGATGTTTAGCTTTTACTTTAGCCCCTGCCTTTAATTTCAGGTTTTAATTTCCTGCGTTGGTTTCTGTTGAGGTGACTAAAGGTGTTAGTGAGCTGCCTTCAGCATTTTGATTGGAGAGTTATTTAAACATTTTAAATTTTAAAAAAGTGGACGATGTATTTTGTGTTTGACTGTGGAACATTCTTTGGGAGCTCAGCTTGTGTCTGGCTGTTATAAAAAGTTCTGTTAAGCAGGCATGAGTTGCCTTGTAGGATGAAACCAAGGTCCACTGGGATGTGTTACCAATAGAGACTACCCAGGTGTCTCTAGAAATGCACAAGCAAAGAATGTAGGTGGTTGTCTTCTGATATTATTCTCCTGCTCCTTTACATCTAGTAAAAACAAGTAAGCAGCCCTCTATACACAAAAACACCATTTGGCTGTCAGTGGAGTTAAATATCTCTAAGCCCACTGACTTCAATGGACCTAGAAGGGTGTAACTCTGTTTAGAATGACATTATAGGTCTATTGAAAGGTAGTAGCCATGTCTTGTGCAAGATTTTTTTAAATTCCCTTTAAAAATCCATCTAAGCAAGTGGCCATCACCACAATTTGTTGTGAACCACAGAAGTTAATTATGTGCTGTGTAAAATTGTGCTTTCTTTTGTTTGACCAGATCTCACGTACCTTAATATTTTTTGTTATATTTTGCCTCTTCCTTTTCTGCTGTCCTGTATTTCCAGAAAATCTAAGGGCAGATAACTTACAATTATAACACGAGTGAGTACTTTTTTTTGGTTATCTCTTTGTGACTTTCTACTCTTTACCTGAAACTCAGTACCTCTAAAACTGAACTTGTGGTCTGCCCCACTGCTTCACCTTCTTTCCCCTACTTTTTTCATGCCCCATTGTTCCATCCTCTCTTCCTTTTCCTGCTTAGGTTCATAACTTGAAAGTTATTTTGTATTCTTCCATTTTCTATTTTTTAATTCTTCCATACTTTAATCTTGTTATGTCTCACATATTTTTTTCTGTTTCCTCTCTTAAAACTTTATTTACTTTGTCCTGACTGTTCTGATGCCCTCCTTTCTGAAGTTTCATCTTTCCCATCTTCACTTCTCAGTTCTGCAGTTAGGGATGCCAACTTGAGGTTGGGAAATTTTTTGGAGATTTGGAGGTGGAGCCTGGGGACAGCAGAGTTTGGGGAAGGCAGAGACGTCAGCAGGGTGTGATGCCACAGAGTCTACCCTCCAAAGCAGCCATTTATTTTAGGGGAACTGATCTCTGTCACCTGGGGGTCAGTTGTAATTCTGGGAGCTCTCTAGGCTCCACCTAAAGGATGGTAATCCAATCTGGAGCCCATTTTATTTTCCCTTCTCATCTATCTCAAGATCCTTCTTTCTGCTCCTCATTGACTCCCCTCCCCACACCATTGTAAGTTTAGACTTCTAGTCTCTAAGTGTCGAAACCCTTTAGCTCTTCCTTAGCTATTACCTTTCTTTCTCCTTCCCCATACTTTGTTTCCTCATCCAACCCCGCTTTGGTTCTGGGAGAGCCAAGCTGAACCTCTAAACTGTTTGTCAATTGTTGTTATATTTAGACTGATTTCTATGAAGCCGTTTTATGTGTTATTTATTAGATTGTAACATTCCCTAAGCCCTGGGAGGCCCAAGGGCTAGAAAGCCAAATAATAAGACAATAAAAGTTGAAAGCACGTAGGTCTAGAAAAGGATTATTAAAAGACATTCAGATCACACTGGAATGATGTGTGCTGAGTTGCAAACTACATTATTGCTGTTAGCATCGCCACTCTCCAGGTGATCTTCAGACAACAGAGATCAGTTGCCTTGGAGAAAATGCCTACACTGGAGGGTAGACTTTACGGAATTATACCCACTGGGGTCCTTCCCCAGGCTCTGGCCCCGAGATCTCCGGGAATTTTCTTGACTCGTATTTATTTTTGGCCAAGCAGCTTTTTCCAATTCGCTTCCCAGCAGTTCTGCCCATTTTCATTAAGGTATCATTCAATACATAAATTTCTAATTAGTTGCATAAATGCTAAATTCAGTAGGTAGGAACAGTCTGCAGAAATATCAAAGCCTTCTGTTCAGCAGAGTCCAAGAGCAGCTTTGCTAATTAAATCACCATCAACTGTAGGGGAAATGCACTAATCGTAAATTGAGATACTTAGGACAGTTTCAAAGAGATGGCATTCTCTTTCCTAACTGGCTACTTTTACCCCTCATTAACAGATCTCTTTCATCTTGTTTGGCAGTGAAATTGCAGCTGTTTCCTTGCTCTGCTTTTCTGATGAATTCAGGCCATTTTCATTGTCTTAAGATAGGATGCATTTTTATTACAAATACTTTCTTACTAGTCTTACAGTGCAAGCCTGTGTATGATTACTTGGGAGCAAGTCTCACTGTATTTCATGGGGTTTACTCTCAGCTAAGTGATCTGGATGGCCCAACCTTGTCCGATCTTGGTAGCTACAGAGGGTCATCCCTGATTAGTGTTTGGACAGGAGACCACCAAGGAATTCCAGGGTTGCTATTCAGAGGCAGGCAATGGCAAGCCACTTTTGTTTGTCTCTTGCCGTAAGTCAGCTGCAACTTTACGGTGCATAAGATTGCAACCATAATGGTACATCTATGATCACATGAAAAGCAATGTGTTTTTAACGTAATAACCTAATTATACTAAGGTTTGTTTAAAATGAAAAACCAAGATTTTGAGAATGAGTATATATTTACATGAATATAGGGTCAAACTAGATGTAACATAGAATATGAAACTCCCAGTGCCATTTTAAGTTGAATTATAGCAGCAGGGGCTTTGATTCAGAGTGGTGACACACAGGGAAGGAATTTAACCCTTCCAGCTCTGCATGTTATCGCTAATTGAAACTGACTTATTTCTTGCCCCCACTCCAGCACACATTTTGAGCTCCTTTAAAAGGGCAGGCAAAATATGCATACCAGTATTTTCCCCTAAAGGTTAAAAAAGGGCACATAGGGTTCAGTAAAAAACCCCTACCTGTGGAAATGATCCCCGAAAGTCCCACCTCTCCTCCAGGGCTCTGAAC